GCTGGAGTGGCCGCGGGGGGGTCTGGAGTCGGGCGGCCGCTGGCGGGGGACGCAGTCGCCCGGGCCGAGATTGGGGGGGCAAGGCGGGCGACAGAAGGCCGATGCCTCCGTCGCCCGGCCCTCTACAGAATCCACCCCCCAAACCTCCAGGTATTTCCCTCCTTAGAGCTGGCAACCCTACATTCCCCTCAGTGCCTGTTGGTAGGCAACTAAGCTTGGTCCTGTCACCTACTTTGGCCTTTGGGAGAAAACACATTGGGGCCAGTCCTGATAGGGTTGCCAACTCCAGATGGGAAATTCCTGGAGATTTGAGGGATGGAGCCTGAAGAGGGTGAGGTTTGAGGAGGGGTGGGACCTCAGACAGGTACACTGCCATAGACTCCACCCTCCAAACCAGTCAGTCCCACATAGGGAACCATTGTTGCCAATCTCCAGGTGAGGGCTGGAGAGCACTCAGTATTACAACTGTTCTGCAGAAGGGAGGGCAGAAGTCAGCTGAAGTCAAAGGGGCAGATAATGGTAGGTTGGTGGCTAGCTGGGAAGGAGATGGGGTTGCCAACTACATGCTGACAAATTCCTGGGGATTTGAGGGGTGGAGCCTGGAGAGGGTGGGGTTTGCAGAGGGGTGGGACCTCAGACAGGTAGAATGCCATAGACTACACCCTCCAAACCAGCCATTTTGTCCTGGGTAACAATTGTTGCCAATCTCCAGGTGAGGGCTACAGATTACTCACAATGACAACTGCTCTTCAGGTAGCAGAGATCAGTTCCTCTGGAGAAAACAGTGGACTCTGTCATTATACCCTGCTGAGGTCACCACAGCAAATTGACACTGTTTGCCCAAAGCCAGAGCACTGCCCCAGAGCCTCTTTCTAGATCCCGTTGTATTGCTTTCACAACGGGCTTTACTGCTAGTGTTCTTATAAGAGGGAACTGGATAAGCATCTGGAGCACAGATCCATCCGTGGCTATTAGCCACAATGTATAGATTAGGAACTCTTGGTCTGGGGCAAGGGATGCTCTGCCTTCTTGGTTCCTGTGGTGGTGGGGCAACAGTGGGAGGGCTTCTGGTGTCCTGGCCCCACTGCTGGACCTCCTGATGGCACCTGGTACTTTTGGCCACTGTGTGACACAGAGTGTTGGACTGGGTGGGCCACTGGTCTGATCCAACACTGGCTTCTCTTATGTTCTTATGTTCTTAACCACTCCTTCCTGGTGAGTCCGAAAGCAAAACAGGAGCTCAGCACTTCAGTCTCCCTGCCTTCCCCCTGCAAAGATGGGATGGGGACAATGTCCCCGGTGCGCCTGCCATTTTGTGACCATGTCCCCAGGGTGCCTGGCTCTTGTCCACTGTCTGGCTCAAAGCCCCTCCTAGATCAGGGCGGAGCTTAGAGCACATCATTTGCATGTCAGCAGGAGCCTCAGCGGAGCTCCCTTCCAGCGCACCGCTTGACAGTCTCACCCTGAAGGCTTCACTGGTAATCTCTGCCCCACCCAAATGGAAACACAACACAAGCACCCATGTAGAGAGAAAGTCCCAAAGGTTTTCTTCTGCTGTCTGTACAGAGACCCGCAGGCAGCAGCGATTGTGTCGGCCCTGCCCTTTGCAGATGCAACATCAGATTAAACCTTTGCTCACGTTCCCGTATCTGCCTGGGAAACACATTCTTTTCTCTGCCCCCCCCAACTCCACACATGCTCTAATTAAAAGCCATAAACGGCTTATCAAAAGCTAATTAATAAAAAGCAATACACTGCCAAGTGGAGTCTGAAGCTCCACGTAAACATCCGTTTATAACCCCGGAACGGAGGGCAACGAGCTGCAGATTGTGGGTGGTTAATGGAACACAGAGAAGAAGGCGGAAGACAAATCGGTCAGGAAAGCACACCCACAGACGGGAGGAGGGGGAGCGCTACCCAGGGCTGCCAAGAGACACGGGCATCCTTCGCCCTGTCCGGAAAAGGAGCCAGCCCTGTGCAGAGCGGTACACTTTGCCCTATTTAGCACACCTGAGCACAGCCTCACAAGGTAAGGCTGGGTGGGAACCCCCACAGTGCAGAGGTGGGCGACTGCCGAGATAACTCTCCGTAGCCTTCCAGAGACCTGAGCTGCACACGCCCGCTCAGGTGGCAGAAGGGGTGTTAAGTTGTTCTAATTCAGCACGTGAAATTGAAATGAACTGACCCAAATGAGGCTCTCTTTGTTCATCCAGAATTTACAAGGAAGGCAAATTAAGGCACGTTTGACAGGCTTCACCGGCAGTAAAACGGCCGTTTTCGCTGCAGCCGGAGAGAACTGACAGCCAATCAATAGGAAATTACAGAGCTTTCAAACTGGGGTTTTGTCTTGGGACCGAAACCTGGATTCTAGACGCTGCATTCTGAACACCAATTAGCATAAAAGGGGTGGGGGTGGCGGGGAGAGGGTTGTCCTCCTGCTGCTGCAACAAGCAGGAAATTAAAATAGATTGTAAATTAATTAAAGTCACTTGGAAATCAAGTGCGGATAAAACCTTCCCCCCGAGGGGAGCAAAGAACACACCGGCTCACTTTATTAGCTGAAACCTGCTGCATTCCTGTAGTTGGGGGCACTCTGGAAGTTCTCAGGTGGCTCTTTCTAAGTTTCCTAAAATGATGGCTGACACACACAAGCTGGTACGATGGATAACAGAACCGAAAAGACGTGGAGGGAGGATCTCAAGTCTGCTTAGCTCAGATAGGCTTGTTCAATTCACCTTTGTGGAGCATTCAAGGATTAGATATTTTAAAGGGGGAAGGAAGCGGTGAACAAGTGGACACGTTCCTATAAAACAAGATTCAAGAGTGGAATTCTCTTTCTTTAAAATCTGCTCCTCACCCACAAAAAAAATTATGAAACTGGGATACAAAACGTGAAATTTGGAATCCAACCCTGGAAAGGATCCCAAATTACCAACCTGAATGAAATTCTACAGGGCATTTCTTGTGACGAAGAGTAACCAGGGGACTGCTTCAGTTCAAACAGGCAGAGAGAAAAGAAGTCAATGTGGGGAAAAGGTCATTGATGTGGTATATGATTACAACGGCTAGAATGACTTATGCTCAATGCTGGAAACAAGACAGAATTCCGGAAATCGGGGAATGGATAAAGAAATTACTGTTTATGGTTGAAATGGACAAAATGACAAGGAAACTTAAGAATCTTGAAGCAGAAGAATTTTATGCAGACTGGAAAGATTTTAAAGATTACCTAGAGAAATATTGGGATGTAAAGGACAACTTAATTTGCTTTGACGGTTATTGAAAAGATAATGTTATTAGAAGAAAGTTAATTATAAGAAAACAATAGGTGAAGGCAATGTTACCGGTAGACTATGTTAAAAGATAAGGGAAAATAGAGGAAAATTTAAGAAATGGGCTGGAGGTTGGAGCACTGTGGGAAGCCGGGGGGGGGTATAATAGAAGAAAGGATGTACAACAACTAATAATATAATGTGTATTTGACTTAACAATATATCCTAATAAATTGTTTTTGAAGAAAGAAAAAAAAAACAGGCAGAGGGAAAAGCACGTCACCAGGGCAGATTTGTGGGAAGAAACCTCACCCGGCAACAAGACTTAAGTTAGGGGTCGGCTCCCAGCCTCTCCCCAGCTGAAATCTCACCTGGACACTCAGTGGGTGAATTATAACAAGCCACTCTGTCTCAGTCTTTCCATCTGCAACATGGGAGTGATAATACCAGCCTACCTTACAAGATTCCAAGGAGACGACGCGCGAGAAGGCCTTTAGACACCTGCTAAGTGCCACCAGTGTCAACCCACCACTCCCACACTTACCACTGTTTCTAGAGTAAGCCGCTACGGTGCCATTCTGCAGGCCAGCAAAGAGAAAGTCGGGGCTGTGTTTCAAGCAGAGAACCGGCTGGAGCCCCGGGCTTTTGCAGGTCAGGAGGCACTGTGTCCCTGTGTCCACGCTTCCATACACCAGGATGCTGGGGAGGAAAATGTACGGGCAAGACAGAAACACGGGTTGAGCGCTGGCCAGGACAACAGAGCAGAGACACTCACACAAAACTGGAAAATAGAGGAGGCCTCTATTTAAGGCAGCACCTTGCCAGAGGCACGAGCCGAAGGGCGAGCTGAAGGGCCCTATGCCTGTGGCTCTTAGCGTAGGGACTCTTAGCCCAGGGGCTCTGTAAGAAGCCCAGGAAGAGCCAGGAAGCCAAGGCCCTCGTCTCCTTGTGTTCCCAGTAAGGTAAGTAGACTTCGACAAGGAGAACCACATAAATACCAAAGGGGTTTTTTAATTGATATTTTATTAAGTGTATATATTACTAAGTATATATATCCAGATATTTTTATGCATATCCTAGCACTTCATTTTTCATATTCTCCTCTTTCTAAGAATCAAATTAAACATTGAAAGCATATAAGTACTCTCTGTCCTCGTTACCTTATTCCCTTTCTTCACCCACTTGCCCAAACCGCCGTGCAACTTCCTCTCATTCATGATCTAAACATTATTACATTCTTCTTTAACTTATTCAAGACTTCTGTACTTCTTTTGCTGTATTCCCTCCGTGCATCCCTATTTTATACTTCTAGTCTTTCGTCCACACCTAGAAAGGACAGTTGAGCAGGGCTGCCCCCGAAACTGGTTGCTGCAGAGGGAGCCTCTGCCGCAGGAGGAAGCCCTCCTCCCTCTGATCGGTTTTGAAAGGGGGATTATATATATAATTATTTTGAAAGCAATTATGAAGCCAGAATGCCAGCAGGGGGTTGGGGGCTATCCAGTGTTTTGTACGGAGTGTCACATGTATGACTATCTGCCCACTGGACAGAAGTCTTGGGTGTGTGCTCGGTGCTAGGAGCTCCTGGTTCTCAGGGAACGTGTTTGCTCCCTTGAGGCCAAGGTGGCTGACCTGGAGAAGCAGAGACAGTCAGTTAGGCACACAGAAAAGACTCTCGGGGACTTGATATATATGTCCCACTCTGGATCTGGCAGCCCCGCCGCTGTCAGGGAGCATGAGAGTCATGGGGAAACAGGGCACCGTGCTGAGGATAAGGGGAATGTGCCCTCAGAAGGGACCTCTTCCCCAGCTGGTGAGCGGGTATCCTTTTGCACCAAGGAACCATCCCTGGGCAGGGTGGGAGGGGGGCTCTTGGTAGCTGGTGATTCGATACTTAGGCAGGTAGACAGCTGGGTGGCGAACCCGCGTACTGACCGTATGGTGACTTGCCTGCCTTTTACTTTTCTCCCTTTCTCACAATACAAGAACTCGTGGGCACTCAATGAAATTGCTGAGTGGTCGGGTTAGAACAGATAAAAGGGAGTCCTTCTTCACCCAAAGAGTGATGAACACATGGAATTCACTGCCACAGGAGGTGGTGGCTACAAGCATGGACGGCTTCAAAAGGGAATTAGATAAGCATATGGAGCAGAGGTCCATCAGTGGCTATTAGCCACAAGGTATAGATAGGGGCTCTGGGGCAAATGATGCTCTGTCTTCTTGGTGCTTGGGGGGGGCAACAGTGTGAGGGCTCCTAGTGTCGGGGCCCCACTCCTGGACCTCCTGAGGGCACCTGGTATTTTTGGCCACTGTGTGACACAGAGTGTTGGACTGGATGGGCCTTTGGCCAGATCCAACATTGGCTTCTCTGTTATGTTCTTATGAACACAACAAGAGCCCCCTAGTGGGCAACTGAGGAACAGCTGCACCAGCTTACGGTTTCCCCCAAAGTGTCAGTGGGGGAAGGAGACGCTTCTGGCAACATTATGGGTCATAAATCAAGACAGGGCTTTCCAAAAGTTCACACGGAAGCCAGCTTTCAATGCCAGAGATCAATCTGGAGATATCTGAGGCAGACAGGGAGAGTGCCTTGGACCACGCCCAAAGCGCTTTCCCTCCTCCCCTGGGGCAGCTACGGCCTGATCATCCAAAATTGGCAGGAAGGGCTGGAGAGTCCGGGGGTCACCGCAGTGCTTCAAAGAGGTTCCCCAAAAGGTCACATTAATGTGCAACAAACGTTCGGCTGCACCATTCACAGCATCACCGCCTTCCCCCCTTCGTGGGGTTCTGGGAGGAGAGCCCACCGTGGCGGACCTAGTTGGGACCATTTCGGTGGATGTGGCAAAATAAATGCATCACCAGTCTGTTCCAAGGCACGTTTCCAGGGACAATCGCTCAGCTCAGAAGTGGAAGACAAGGGAAACCCAACGCCTCCCTTCAGGGACAAAAGATGGATGAGACCAAATTTTAAGAGCCAGCTGGTAGGATTTGAACGTCTTTGTTTCCAGCTTGGTTCTCACTTGGAGTTTGTGCTTCCTCAGGCCAATTTTCCCCGTAAAAATCACAAACACTTCCCAACATTATGTGCTTATCGGTTGTGAATGAATGGTGTAGAAATGTACACTTAGGCTGTGTGACAGGGTGTGCAGAAAATGAAGAAGAAGAAGAAGAGTTTGGATTTATTCCCCTTGCCCTTCACTGCCCAAGGGAGTCTCAGGGCGGCTTACAATCTCCATTCCCTTCCCTGCAACAGACACCCTGTGAGGAAGGTGGGGCTGAGAGAGCTCTGACAGAAACTGCTCTTTTTTCAAGGACAGCTCTTGTCAGAACTACGGCTTGCCCAAGGTCACCCAGCATTGACGTAGTCCAAGTGGAGGAGTGGGGGAATCAAACCTAGTTCTCCCCGATTAGAGTCCACGCACTTAACCACTACACCAAACTGGTGAAAGACAGACAGACAGAAAGAAAGAGAAGGAAGGAAAGAAGGAAAAAGAAGAAGAGATTGGTTTTATACCCCTCCCTTCACTACCCAAAGGTGTCTCAGAGCGGCTCACAAACTCCTTTCCCTTCCCCTCCCCACAACAGACACCCTTGTGAGGCAGGTGGGGCTGAGAGAGCTCTGGCAGGAACTGCTCTTTTTCAGGGACAGCTCTTATCAGAGCTACGGCTTGCCCAAGGTCACCCAGCCAAGTGCAAGTGGAGGAGTGGGGGAAATCAAACCCAGTTCTCCCCGATTAGAGTCCACGCACTTAACAACTACACCAAACTGACTCCACCCAAGAAGAAGAGGAGAAGAGATTGGATTTATCCCCCTCCCTTCACTACCCAAAGGTGTCTCAGAGTGGCTTACAAACTCCTTTCCCTTCCCCTCCCCACAACAGACACCCTGTGAGGGGTAGGTGGGGCTGAGAGAGCTCTGACAGAAACGGCTCTTTTTCAAGGACAGCTCTGAGAGAACTGTGGCTTGCCCAAGGTCATCCAGCAGGTGCAAGGGGAGGAGTGGGGGAATTAAACCCGGTTCTCCCAGATTAGAGTCCACGCACTTAACCACAACACCAAACTGGCTTATGAAAGGTTTATGAACAGCAGCAACAAAATCAAGCAGACCGAAACAGATGACAATGGTGACCAATTAAACAAAAAGAATGAAAATGACCATATTGGCACATCTCTATAAAACAGCTCCCGTCCTCTCCCCCCCCCCCCCCCCCCCCCAGACACACATCAGGTCCTCACCTGCCATCCTGTAGCCCCAGGCAAATGGCCGGCTGTGGCAGCAGCGGGGGCTCGGCAGCTGGTTGAGAATCTTCCACTTTCTCCTCTTCGCTCCTCTCTGGAATGTATTCCATGCAGAGGACCTGGGAGGCCACGGGGAAGGACTTCACCGTCCGAGGCACTGCACGATTCAGGGAAAAAATCTCCACTTGGCCCCCGGCCCCTTCCTGGCCGCCCCCAACCTAGAGGGCCAAAAGCAAGACAAAACAATCGTGTGACCCACTGCCCTCTTGGTAGGAAAGGGGCTCTCCAAAACCTCCTGGCACTCTCTCTGCCCACCTAGCAAGATACCCAAACAAACTGGAAACGAAGGAAAAGTCAACAGAATGAAAAGCTCCGAATTTACTGGCAGAAATTTGAAATTAGTTTCCCGCAATCTGCACCACGATTTTTGTCTGTGTTTGTTTGATAACACTCCCAATTAAACAGCTCTACAGGCCTTTTCTTTTTCTTTAAGGCACCAGGGTATACAAATGTTGAATTTGGCAAGCCGGAACTGAGATAATTCTTAGAATTTGGCTTTTTAAAAAAAAATCCCCCCAAAAAACATTTTTTTTTTAAAAAAAAAATGACATTAAAAAGACAAACGTGTGGTCCTGTTCTTAAAAGGCTTGACATTCTGTACTAGACCGAATGCTCCCTTGAGGTTGTGAAGTTAAATAAGAACAAAGCCCCAGTGAATCAGCCCACGCGGGGCCCCGCGGGACAACGGGGGATTGGCTCTGTTTGCCTCGGGTTCTCCACTGTAAGATACAGCAGAGAGGCCGGGCTTCCGTTCATTCCAGGCTGGGAAAACATGCTAGGTCCAACCTATCCAGTCACAGGAGAGAGCCACCTGGCTGGGCCTAACCAAGGGTCAAACTACACAGAGGATGCTCAGGATGCGTGATCGGATCCCCTCCGATGTGAAATTTAGCTCCAAGAAGCTGTCGCAGGGGCCCAATATGGACTGGCAGTCAAGCACTGGGAAACACGAGGTGAAGTCTCAGCCCTCGCACCTTTTCCAAATCGAATGCCAAGCGGAACGAATCTCCAAATGCCTTCCAGGGTGCTTCAACCCAAGGGAGAGGGGAGAGACAGGCACAGGATGGGTCCCTGTCTTTCTCCCCCCCCCCCCCCCCCCCCCCGCAACCAGAGCTTAACACAGCTTGAGAGGGCATCTCTGATACCATTTTCTGCATCATGTAACATATTACAACAAGAGACGGTTTTTATACCCCACTTTTCTCTGCCCTAAAGTGTCTCAAAGCAGTTTGCAGTCTCCTTCTCTTCCTCCTCCCACAACAGTAACCTTGCGAGGTAGGTGGGGCTGAGAGAGGTCAGAGAGAACGGTGACTGGCCCAAGCTCACCCAGGAGGCTTCAGGTGGAGGAGGAGGGGGGACTCAAACCCAGTGCTCCAGATTAAAGTCCACCGCTCTTAAGGACCACACTATGGTGGCTTGTGTCTAATGCTTTATACTTTCTTTCAGACTGCTGCAATCCTAGTCTTATTACATTGTTTAGTCCAACTGATTGCATTGCCTTACACTGTGCAATCTGCCTGGAGTGTCAATGAGAAAAGGAGACTACAAAGTAAATAAATAATAAATCTGACAGGAAACCAGCCCATTGGAGGAGCTAATCTCCCTTTCCCCTCTCATGGGGCTCGGACACCCCTTCCCTCTGAAGGCAGTTTGATCTCAAATCCCAGTTGCTGGGGAGCAACACCGGGGGGGGGGGGGACTTTGGGACCCTGCTGGTGGACTTTTGGGGGCTATACGGATGATGGACTGGAGAAGCCCTCCGTGGTCTGATCCAGCACAGCTGCTGTTTTCTGACATCCTTGTGAAGCTCGAACGAGGAACTGCTGCTTGTCCCACTTATGCCCCGGGCTAAAACAGGTTTTGTGCCATTTCAGAATCCTGCCAGATCCGTTTGACCACAGGTGACAGCGGGACAAACGCCATGGGCAGGAGTGCTGCCTCTCTCTTAGCTCTCTGGGAAGCGACTCTCTTGTCACCAGCCTCCCAAGACTGTGTCAGACACAGGCTGATCCAACACGACAGAGTGACCTTTTAGCCCCCTGACTGCGCCTGGTGCAGGGAAAGGGCTCTGGCGGCCTGCTTGTGACTCCCCGAGGCGGAGCTGGAAGGGGCCCGGCCCACTCTGTTTGGCCTCCCAGCTTAGTCCACAGGGGAAGAACTTGGTGATGGATGCAGATCCCTCAAGGTCCAGATCCGTTTTGGGATCACCTCTATGCTTTATCCCTCCGGGGATTTGGCCAAGGGCAATGTGTCGCTCTGCAGAGGTGCGCCTGGCAAAGAGGCCGCTCACACGGCACGCAGGAGGACATTCGGGCACAAACTCACCCAGAGGTAGCCTTGCGGCAGAGAAGTGCTGATGGCCGAGAAACCCAGCAGTGAGGAATGGACAGGGCTGTGCACGGCCGCTCCAAGCTGAGCGAGGGGAGAGAAGAGAGAGAGGAAGAGAGAGAGAAAGATGTCAACCCAAAGGGGAGCTGGAGAACAGCACTGGTGCACCTGAACTTCTTTCCCACACCTCCCGCTTCATCCCAAAGTGCCCTCCTCCACCACCACCTCGGCTTCCCACCTCCTGGCTGCCTTCTTCTCCCCTGCTCTCTCCTCCTTTGGCTCCCTCTCCCCTGCTTCTCGCCCTCCCCCATTCCTTTTGCAAAGAAGCAGGGGAAAGCGTGGAAAAAACCCCACTTGGGTTCTAGACGGGAAAGCTGATGCTCACAGAACAAAATCCATCTCAAAGAGAAGGGTCCCCAGGAGAATTCTCTTTCAGATAGGAAAAAAATTTTTGGAATCGAAACGCGTGGAGCTCATTTATCATTTTTATTCTGCAAGACCCTGCAGGGCTGTTCTGCTCTAGAGATGTCGCCCCCCGTGCCTTGCTTCAGGGGAACTCTCCATCCGCTGAAGAAAAGCGTCTCTGCTAGCGGGACGGACAGGTCTGTGGGATCCAACCCAATGTTGCCCACTGAGTGCCGGTTTGAGGGTCCCGGGCGGGGCCGCAATCAGTCCAGGCATCCGAGGGTGCATTCTGCCCCCCAGCCGGACCCCCTTTGGTCTCACTCGCTCGGCACTGGCCGCCTCGCTCCAGGGCCTCAGGAAGAGGCCGGCCTTTCCCAGCACCAGCTACTCAGGATCCGTTCCCTGGAGATGCCGCAGACGAAACCTTGGACTGCCCGGCAGGCAGGTCTTGACTTCTAGAACGGAGCCCAGCCCTGCTGGCGCAGGACTGCCTGCAAGCGGGAGCCCAAGGGGCAAACGCCGCCTCGAGGGGGGAAACCAGTGACACATGGCACGCCAATATCTGCTACTGGAGACGGCTTCCACAAGGATCAGACACCTTACGGAGCACGGGTCTGTCAACAAGTACTGACCGTCACAGCCAAGTAAACCTCCATGTTCAGCTTTGACCACACACACACACGCACAAAGCTGACTTGTACTGCACAGGACCCCCCCGAGTCCACCAAGCTCAGTGCTGCCTGCTCAGACTGGCAGCCGCTCTGCAGGGTCTCAGGCACAGAAGGTCTTTCACGCCACCTGCCGCCAAGGCTCCCTCTCAGCGGCAGAGTCCTGTGAGCAAAAATCCTACTTGGTGAGCTACTTGGCATCAAAGTTGTGAGCGAGCGATTTGGCTGGTGCATCAATCAGTGTGCCCTGGAGCCACCCTTCCTGAGCTAAGATCAAAATGTGCGAGCCGGAGGCTAACAAACTGAGCCGGCCCACACTAACTCAGCTTAGAGGGAACACCGCCTGCCACCTGATCTTTTTCCGCTGGCGATACCAGGGACTGAACCTGGAACCTTCTGCATGCCGAGCAGAGACTGTCCCGCTGAGGCAGAGCCCCTCCCCACCCAAAGTACCAGAGGCTGAGAATAACTAGAGGGAAGGCTGACACATTCCTGTGGGGCTTCTGACTGGCCCTGCTGGACTACGTCAATGCTGGGTCTGCTCCTGCGGGGCCTTTTCTATAGCTTTACAATCTGATGAAGTCGAGGATGCTGATGGGACATGATAAAACTCTAAGCTTTGCACGGTCCCTTTTTGCACGGCGGCCTGGAAAGGCAATTAAAAGAGAGAGAGCGATGACTGACGAGGATCCGAATCATTTCATGTCTTCCCCAAAAGCGAAAGGACAGCGGCTCCCTTTCACCAGAGGTGAAGCCAAGGCAAACCTTTGAAGCCAAAGGACACAACTGCAAAGGGGGGGGGAGCTATTCCAGAACCTCTGGGGTAGATGAAGGGGAGGGAAGGACGTTGCGGAGTCAAAAAAAGCTTTGTAGATTAGTCATAATATATGAATAAAGAGTCCCCCTTTTCCATCTGCTTCCTTTTATTCTCTTCTTTTGGGGGGAGAGGAGGAGAGAATCAATGGTGGCTCATCAGAAACAACAGATCCTGCAGCCAGTCTGATGAGCAAAGCCCGTCTCTGCCAAAAGAGAGAGTGTCTCTGGCATCTCCAGGGGCGGCTGAGCCACCATTTGGTCTAATTAGACAAAACCAGCAGCCAAACCTTCAGGAGGGGCCGCGCGGAGGCCCCCTCTCCTGCCAACGCGAACTGTCCCGCTGGAGCGGGCCGAGCGGGACGCAGCCGGTGGCCCAAAAGCTTTGCATCTGTTACGGTGGCTAATTGGATTTCAAAAAGACGACATTCAGAAGTCCTTTTTTGTCCTGAGGATGGGATGCCAAGAGAGTTCTGCCAAGAGGCTAAAGGAATGAATGGGGTGACTCCCTGAGCACGTGGCCGATCCAGGTGGGCTTTTATGGCGTTCATCTTCGGGGGCGGGGGGAGAGAAAAGGAAATGCCTAGCAAGCTTCACGGCCAGGCAAGGATTTGAACCCAGATCTCTTGTGTCCAGACACTCTGCCACCAAACACGCAAGTCCAATATCTAGATCTTGTTTCCTCAAACAATGTTTTCCCATCTGCCAATAACCAGCAGGAAACCCAGTGTGGGAGAAATACCCCATCCAGTTTAAAGAAGAGAGGAGATTGGATTTATACCCCGCCCTTCACTACCTGAAGGAGTCTCAGAGCAGCTTACAAACTCCTTTCCCTTCCCCTCCCCACAACAGACACCCTGTGAGGTAGGCGGGGCTGAGAGAGCTCTGACAGAAACTGCTCTTTTTTTCAAGGACAGCTCTTGTCAGAACTACGTCATCAGTGTCACGTGTTCACCCTGCCTTCCGTCTCCTCTCAGGTTATCCCAAGAGCAATCCACTAATTCTTTAAAAGCGTAACGCAACCTTTTTTCCATTATACTAGCAACATTAAGAACATAAGAGAAGCCCGTGTTGGATCAAGCCAATGGCCCATCCAGTCCAACACTCTTTGTCACACAGAGGCCAGAAATACCAGGTGCCATCAGGAGGTCCAGCAGTGGGGCCAGGACACTAGGAGCCCCTCCCACTGCCCCCCCAGCACCAAGAAGACAGAGCATCCCTTGCCCCAGACATAAGAACATGAGAGAAGCCAATGTTGGGTCAGGCCAATGGCCCATCCAGTCCAACACTCTTTGTCACACAGAGGCCAGAAATACCAGTTGCCATCAGGAGGTCCAGCAGTGGGGCCAGGACACTAGGAGCCCTCCCACTGTTGACCCCCCCCCCCCAAGCACCAAGAATACAGTGCATCCCTTGCCCCAGACATAAGAACATGAGAGAAGCCAATGTTGGGTCAGGCCAATGGCCCATCCAGTCCAACACTCTTTGTCACACAGAGGCCAGAAATACCAGTTGCCATCAGGAGGTCCAGCAGTGGGGCCAGGACACTAGGAGCCCTCCCACTGTTGACCCCCCCCCCCAAGCAAAATACTGAGCATCCCTTGCCCCGGAGTCCCTATCTATACCTTGCGGCTAATAGCCACCGATGGACCTCTGCTCCATATAACGTTGGGACAAAACGGGCAGTGAGTTTTCATGTAGCCTTCTCCATGCAATTACCCATCCAAGAATTTCCTTTCTTTTCCTCTTTTTTCTTTTTTTGGGTGGGTAGGTTTTGTCACCTAGCACTTGTATTGTTTCTTCATTCTCTCTCCCCCCCCTCTACCCTGTCGCTCCCGGTGTGTTTTCGATAACAATTCAGTCTTTTGAACATCTAGAAATAATGGATTTATATAATTGATTTGAAAATCAGGGAAACTCAACATGTGCAGTGCTTCCATTTAGCGTGCTTCATAATTATTGAATAGCACTGTTATGAATTGGTGCGTCCAGTCTGACGGTCGCCAGCCATTGCCTTAGTTGGCGATTAAGGAGGAGCGGGGGACCTTTGAAACGGCAGCAACCCTGCTGTGCCCCACGATACATCCAGCCTTTGTTTTTCACAATGTGATGATGTTATAAAGTTATGGCACATCTGCAAAAAAAGGAGGCTCCATCCCTGACGAAGTACATGACCACACGGCCGCACAACCCCTTTTCAAAGGGAGTGCGGAACACAGGGGGAGAGGGGGGGGTCGGATCCGAATTCAAGAAAAAATTCCCTGAAATAAATGCCCTTTTGCGGAAGGCATGCCGCAAAGTTGGAGCATCAGGTGGGCATTCAACTCGCTGGGAAACAGTAGCAACACTGACGTGCGGAAAAGGTCTAGGTCTAAAACAGAGCTAAGAAGAAGAGATTGGATTTATACCCCATGGCCCTTCACTACCCAAGGGTGTCTCAGAGCGGCTTACAAACTCCTTTCCCTCCCCCTCCCCACAACAGACACCCTGTGAGGTAGATGGGGCTGAGAGAGAAACTGCTCTTTTTCAAGAACAGCTCTAAGCAGGGGTCTTTTCATAGAAAAAGAGCTGCAGGAGCTCATTAGCATATGGCATGCTAATGAGCTACTGGGCTATTAGCATATGCCACGCCTCCTGACATCACCGGAAGTGATGGCAGAAGGGGAAGCAAAAGGGGGGGAGGCATCTTCAAAAGCCTCCCCTCCCCTTCTCACTAGAGTTCGGCCACAGGAGGAAAGACAGAAGGAAAGAGAGAGAGTAGAGTGAAGGAAATAAGGAAGGAAAGAGGGAAAGAAACAGAAGGAAAGAAGGAGGGAAAGAAAGAGAAGGGAAGAAGGAGGGAAACAGGGAAAGGAGGAAAAAAGAGAAGAAGGCAGGAAAGAAAGAGAGAATGGAAGAAGGAAGGAAAGAGGGAAAGGAAAGAAGGAAAGAAGGAAAAGAGATGAAGGAAGAGAAGGGAACTTACCGCTTTGGTGGGGTTGGGGAAGCGGGCGGTGGTGCTCTCCAGGCGCCCCCCGAGCAGCAGAGCTCCTGCAAGGGCCAGGGGATGTGGGGACGGGGCTCTCCCGTCCCCCAAGCCACAGCGCTCTCGCTCGGGAGACGCGACGGGGAGCGCTCCCGTGTGGGCTGGGAAACTTGGGTGGGGCTCTCCTGGCCTCTCCCGAGCCGCAGCACTCCCGCGTGGGCTCAAAAGACCCGGAGGCGGGGCTCTCCGGGCCTCCCTCGAGCCCCAGCACTCCCACACGGCTCGAACAACCCGGGGGCGGGGCTTGCCGCCACGCGGGCTGCCGGAGCGGCACTCCGGAGGGCTCCGGCCCGAAAAGACCCCTGGCTCTAAGAGAACTTATGACTGACCCAAAGTCACACCAGAAGCTGCATGTGGAGGAGTGGGGAATCAAACCCGGTTCTCCCAGATTAGAGTCTGCGCACTTAACCACTACACCAAACTGGCTCTCCTCTCTAAGGGAGGTCATCTGCTTTTGAATGCAAAGAGAGCTAGCCTCTTCTCTCACCTCTCTGTGCTCCATTTCCTCCAGAATTTTCCTTACAACTCAAGTGATTTCCATGAGGGAACCAGGCTGGAAGAAAATGCTGACAGCCAAAAAGAGAGCAGCTAGGCAAGCCCAGGACGGGGCAGAGTGTCGCTTCCCTCCTTCACCAGGGCGTTCCGTTGCCCTTACAGACACCCCTCCCCTCCTTTCAAGCTAAGCAGGTATCCCTGAATCATTCTCTGGAAGTCTCCCTTCTGCTCCTAGATGATTGCCGCAATTCAGTGCGGAAAAGCACTCTGGACAGGCTCAGATACACTCCCAGCGGTCAGTGTTACTCCGCAGCTCCCAGATCTGAGTTTCCCAGCAGGAAAACAGGTTCTGGGAGGGAGCCAGAAACAAGGGACTGCCAAGAGGTCTAGCTGGAGGCAGGGTGGGGGGGCTGCCCTAACTGGGCTGCAAGGAGAACCAACCCCCCAATTATGGCTCCCGCTGTGAAAACAGTCACAGAATCCTTCCCAACCTTCCCCCCCCCCCCCCCGGTCACTGCCTGCATTTTGTAGGAAATGGTTCAAAACAGACCAGCCACCTTTCAAAGCTGCATTGATTTCTGCAGTCGGAGGACAAACAAGGACCGCTAAGTGGCAAATTTACCTTCCCGGCTGCCTTGTTTTCCCGGCACTCCCACACGATCGACTGTGCACAAAACCACTCAGCACGTCCCACTAATTGCGGCCCAGAGAGAGCCACACCGGCGGCCTTCTCTCAGGCTCGCTGCGGTTACTGTTGTGGTGATCATTAAACGGAGAGAGGGTCAACGGTTCCTCTCAGCTCGAGCCTCCGTGCTTCAGGAAAAGCTAATTTGGTAGAGGACAAAGTCGCTCACATGAAGATGCAACATGTCTGACGACTCCTGGAACACAGACGAAGCTGCCTTACACTGACTCAGACCTGTGGCCCATCAAGGGCAGTATCGCCTACACAAGCGGGCAGCAGCTCTCCAAGACCTCAGGCTGAGGTCTTTCGTATCACCTATTGACTTGTCCTTTTCAACTGGACGTTGAAAAGAACTTTTCAACTTGAGAGACTTGAGAGTCCCCTGGACTGCAAGAAGATCAAATCAGTCAATCCTAAAAGAAATCAACCCTGACTGTTCCCTGGAAGGCCAGATAATGAAACTGAAGCTCAAATACTTTGGCCACCCAATGAGAAGGGAGCCCTCACTGGAGAAGACCCTGATGCTGGGAAAGATTGAAGGTCAAAGAAGACGGGGACGGCAAAGGATGAGATGGTTAGACAGTGTCATAGATGCAACGGAACATGAAATTGAGCAAACTTCAGAGGACAGCGGAAGACAGGAGGGTCTGGCGGGATCTGGTCCATGGGGTCGCGAAGAGTCGGACTCGACTGTGCAACTGAACAACAACAAATTGACTTGTTCTTTTCAACTGGACATGCCGGGGATTGAACCTGGGGCCTACAGCACGCAAAGCAGGGCTCTTCCACTGAGCCGCAGCCCCTCCATGAGCAACCTGGCTGCTGCCTCCCAGCCTCCACAGCCCCAGTGCCAATGTTCCCTCTAAGCTCAGCTAGTGTGAGCTAGCTCACAGGTTTTTAGCCTCCAGCTCACAGGTTTTTGTCTCAGCTCAGGAAGGGAGGGCTCCAGAGCAAACCGATTCATGCAGCCGCCAAATGGCTCGCTCACCACTTTCATGCCAGTAGCTCACAAAGTAGGGTTTCTGCTCACGAGGCTCCACCGCTTAGAGGGAGGGTCGCTCCCCACAGCCCTCCCCCTTCCCCAGCCCAGGGTCTTCTCCTCCACCTGTGCCCCCTTCACCTGCAGGTCGAGAGCCTTGGAGGAAAAGGCGAGCACGCGGCAAACCAAGATGGGGCACCAGAAGGGAGCTTTGCTCTTCTTATCTTCCTCGGGACACAGCCAGCCAGGCTGGTTTTCTTCCCCTGGAGCAAAAGGAAGACACAGGATGAAGGGCAGAACACGAGAAATCACACAGAAGTCCAGACCAGCAGTGTTTATTTCAGTACGAGCTTCCGTGAGACACAGCTCACTTCCTCAGATATGCGAAGGGTCAGACTTGGCTCTGATGAGTCCTGCCTCTGCGACGGACTCTGAGTTTATGCCTTGGGCACTTTGCAGTCTGGACCTCAGTCCCCTATCTGTAAAATGGGTATAGTGGTGACCTACCAGACAAAGAGGATGTCAAGGAGAGAAGAAATGGTAAACAGTATATTACAACCCAACCAATTCCAAAGGTCCATTAAAAAAAGTCTGGATCCACTCATAGCCAGTGTTCCCTCTAAGCTGAGTTAGTGTGAGCTAGCTCACAGTTTTTTAGCCTCCGGTTCACACATTTTCGCCTTAGCTCAGGAAGGGGGGCTCCAGAGCCAACTAATTTATGCAGCAGCCCAATCGTTCGCTCACAACTTTAATGCCAGTACCTCACAAAGTAGAATTTTTGCTCACAAGACTCCACAGCTTAGAGGGAGCCTTGCAGAGCATCCCAATATCGTATTCTGGCAGCACACTTTCAGGGTTGGAACCTGGCTGACTTTAGAACCAATCCAGCCTCGTAGGCACTTGCAGAACACAGTCTTTATTATCTCAGAACACAAAAAAGTCGGGGGAGGCACCTGCAGAATGCTCCCCCCCTTGCAAAAACTCAATGTTTGCATGCCTCCCGTTGTCCTTGCCACACTTTCCCCTTCCCAACCACTACTCCAGAGTCCTAATGCTGTGATGGGAATGCTACCGTGTCATGCCAAAGGAAGAGGCAGCCATCTCTGGATTACTTTGAATACACATTTTGACGGCTGGTGCCTGCTTCTTACTGGATGTGTTATGGGGGGGGGGGGACTGGAGAGAAGCCGCTGGCATCTAGGCAGAGGAGAAAGAGGGGTCTGTATGAGCGGGTGGCAACTGGCTGGTCAGGAGCACACTTGAGGGGCTCCTAGTGCACGCAGCATTTGCTTTTTTGGAAAACTATCTTTGAGAGGAACCCTTTCTACTTGTGGCGCTTGCCTGCTTGCGCACCAGCAGACCTTCTGGAAGCGCAAGGCACGCCCTCTGCCTCTGGTGCTTTGCTTTGCACAGCAAGGCATGCCAGCGCTCCACAGCCAGCCAAAAGCTCTGCCATCGCATCACCAGCTGCACAGGAAGAATCGAGGAACAATCGGGGGGAGGGGGGGGAACCAGCTCCTCCGTATTAAGAGTTTTGTACACACTTTATTTTTAAGTGGCGGTTTCAGTCTCCCCCCCCACACACACACACACAGGCACTTTGGATTAAAATAGGCCAGCAAACTGTTAAAAAAAGAAAAAAACAACCAAGAGAATCAAATCATCGCTGCCTGGGGGAAGTCGGGGATCCAAATAAGATTTCAAATGAATCTTCCCCTCCCCTCTCTTCCATTAAAAGGAGGTTTTTTAAAAGGCTCTCTCTCGCCGCAGCGGTGGCTGAAGTTAAATAGCAAGCAGAGATAAGAAGGAACAGAAGGGTCTTGTGGGAGTGTGAAGCAACGGAGCAAGCGAGGAACGTAAAGGGAGGCTGGGGCTGCCCAAAACCGTCAGCCGCTTTCTTTCCCTCCCCTTAACGAGGAGATTAAAGGGCGGAAGAGGCTTAGAACAATGACATTGCAGGGTTATCCATTTTGGGGCAGATGGTGGGGATGCGCTCGTTCTTTTACATTCTCAGACAAACTTCCAGAGGGGACTTGCTCCATTGAAGCAGTTACGGAGAGCTTTCATCATGTCTTTAAACAGCCCAAGTGAGGAACGGGAGCTTCCCACGAGCTCCCCCGCAGACCACAGCGGGGTGTGCCTTAAGAACATAAGAGACGCCAATGTTGGATCAGGCCAAAGGCCCATCCAGTCCAACACTCTGTATCACACAGTGGCCAAAAATACCAGGGGCCATCAGGAGTCCACCAGCGGGGCCAGGACGCTAGGAGCCCTCCCACTGTTGACACCCCCCAAGCACCAAGAAGACAGAGCATCCCTTGCCCCAGAGCCCCTATCTATACCTTGTGGCTAATAGCCACTGATGGACCTCTGCTCCATATGCTTATCTAATTCCCTCTTGAAGCCGTCCATGCTTGTAGCCGCCACCACTTCCTGTGGCAGTGAATTCCAAGTGTTAATCACTCTTTGGGTGAAGAAGTACTTCCTTTTATCCATTCTAACCCGACCGCTCGCTAAAGAGCCCTAAGTGCTTTAACCTTTCCTCATAGGGAAAGTGTTCCAACCCTTTTATCATTTGAGTTGCCCTTTTCTGCACTTTTTCCAAAGCTATAATATCCTTTTTAAGGTGTGGTGACCAGAATTGCACACAGTATTCCAAATGAGGTCTCACCATTGATTTATATAGGGGCATTATTATATTGGCTGATCTGTTTTCAATACCCTTCCTAATAATCCCCAGCATAGCATTGGCCTTCTTTATTGCAGTCACACACTGTCTCGACATTTTCAGTGAGTTATCTACTACAACTCCAAGATCTCTCTCTTGCTCAGTCTCTGCCAGTTCAGACCCCATCAATGTGTATTTATATTTGGTGCGGTGAAGACCCGGGTCAGTCGGAACTGCAAGTGCTCATAGGAACACTGTGGGGCGAGGGCCCCAAACTCCCTGGGACAGCTGCTCATCTCAGGGCAGCCGGGCTCGGAAAGGGTCCCCGGCCAGCCAGAGAGCCATGGCCAGGCAAGACAGAAAGTGCTGGGCCTGGACGCACAGAGGGCTTGACTCTGCATGAGGCAGTCCCAGGTTCTGGGGAAGTCTGCCTCGGGAGGAGGCGGAGGCTCCTTCGCTGGACGTTTCCAAGCGGAGGAGGCTGGACGACCCTCTTCCGGGTATGTCGCAGGGCTCTCTTTCGGCTGTGCTCCTGCAGAGTGCAGCAGGGGGTTGGACGAGATGACCTGCAAGGTCCCTTCCAACTCTAGCATTCTATGATTCCATGATTCTAAGTGGGGATTTGCCCTGGAGGGACCCCAGTCTCTAGGCCCTCCCGGCTGCTCTTTCGGCGGCAGCAACGCACAACAAGGAAGAGCTTGTTTTCCCTCATTCGTATGCATCTATCCAGCGTCTACATTTTTTAAAAAAGAAGAAATCATATTTGATTGTTTGATGGCTTTTTGTTTATTCAAGTGTGATTCAAGTATTTTATTTGGAAGCCCTCCCAAGTGTGAGGAGCGAGCTAGGAAACAAACAACACACACACACACACAGCCCTTCCTTCCTCCAAGGGGGCAGATCCAAGAGTGGCTGGCGTTTCTCTGGCCGCAGCCCCAGACCACAGCTGGCCCCCACAGAAGCTTCGGGTCAGCACTCGGGAACCACCTCTCCACCCGCTGGGGCACAATCGCACCTAAAGGGCAGAGCTGTGGTCCAGAGAGGCGCCTGGGCCAAATCTCCCTTGGGGCACAAACGCACGTTGGCCAACTTGGGCAGGGCACGCTCGATCCCAGCTCCCCCCCCCCCGGGATTTGGACATAATACTGCTGGCCCACCTTACAGGGCTTTTGTGAGGACATATGAGGCGAATACTGCTGGCCTAACTGGCCATTTATTTATAATATTTATATGCCTCCCGTCCAGAGACCTGCTCTTAAAGCGGCTCACATAGTAAAAACGATACCATTCAAACTACAGAAATGACCACCAGATAATTATGAATATTTATGTAAAGTGCTGGAAGAACAACATTCGGCTGCCTGCAGTTATGTCCTTCCAAGAGCCCTCCGGCTTCAAGAACACCATAAAACAGCTGGAACAGTTGTTAAAGCCAGGGGGCGTTGAATGTTTTGGCTGAGGGAGGGCTGGGTGAGCCCCAAAGGGGAGGTCATTTCAAAGACAAGGTGCCACCACCCAAAAAGCCCTGCTTCTGGTCCAGTGTTCCCCCTAAGCTGAGTGAGTGTGAGCCAGCTCACAGCTTTTTACCCTCCGGCTCACACATTTTTGTCTTAGCTCAGGGAGGATGGGGCTCCAGAGCAAACTAATTCATGCAGCAGCCAAATCACTCGCTCACAGCTTTAATGCCAGGAGCTCACAAAGTAGAATTTTTGCTCACAAGACTCCACTGCTTAGAGGGAGCATTACCGCTTGCCTCAGCCCTTGCTGTTGGGGGCACAGAGAGGCCTAACAGGACTGTCGTAAGGCTGTGTGAAGTTAATAAGGTTGCTCCACCTCACAGGGCTGTTACAGGCAGAGCAGCAATGTTCTGTGTGAGAGAAAAGCTTTGAACTCCAAAAGGATGGCATACATGTTAAGCAGCACTCTTTCTCTGCTTTCTGCGAGTGTGGCTGAAAGCAATGGCCAGCTCCACCTGGCAGCCTCTGCCTTCTGTCTGCATAAAAGAAGGACGTTATTTTCCTCGTCGCAGAAAATCCTTTTGGCCAGCAACTCCCTTCCCCAGCAGGGGCACCTTCTGGAGAGGCGATGAGAGAGCGGCAAGCCAAGTTCCTCCCCGTGTTCCACTCCATAGAGCCAACCTCCCTTCCCACCACCAATGCCAGAACGGGTGCCTGTCAAACCTTGCTACGCTTTGCTCACTTAGGTTGTCGTAGTTATTGAGGGGAGGGAATTCCTGCGGGAAGGGTGTGTGTGTAGAGTGAGTGGGAACCTCTGCTGCAAGATGTGCCTCCTTTCTCTTTCCCAGGGAGAGGTGTCCTTGAAGCTTTTGGTACCAGCTTTAACAGTGGATAACCAAGCTATATATTTCCCCACTTGGTTGAGATGGCAACGCTAGGCGTGGTGTGTGTGACATGTACCTGAGGACAAGGGAAGGGGGCTCTGCTTGAATTGCCTGTATTAAGCATATGCCCGCCAAAATCTTCAGTTCTAACACTGAAGTTCCGGATCATGCGCACATCTCAATGAACGTATCACTGCCAAAGAGAGTGTGGTTGAGAGTAACTTGACTGGGAGCCTGACAGTGCCTCCTCCTCCTCCCCTTCCTCCCTGCTCCCCTATCTCAGTCCCATCAACAACCTCAAATTTCTTCTTCAGTGTGCCATTGGGGCATGTGGGGGGAGAAGAAACTTGGGCTGGCGCCTGGTGGAGTCCGGACTGGACCTCAGCGGTTGCCAGCTACCCCTTCTAATACAAGACAGAGCTTAGGACCCAGATGCTCAGCCCTGCTATGCTAGATCTGAGTTCCAGGGAGGGGGGGGGCGGACTGGATTTATACCCCGCCCTTCACTACCCAAAGGAGTCTCAGAGGGGCTTACAAACTCCTTTCCCTTCCCCTCCCCACAACAGGCACCCTGTGAGGTAAAAGCAGAACCACGTGTAGGACAGGGAGCCCCGCAGACCTGGGGCAGCTGATTGATGGAGAAAGTTTGGTCCAAATGAAAATCCATCCCTTCAGACTCTACAACTGCAAACATTTCAGGGAAGAGAGAGGGGCTCAGCAGGCCCTCCAAGCACCTGCCTGTTTCCTTCCTGAAACATCAGAGTATGCTCCTGCCACTCATGGGAGAGATGGGCAGCTGCCGTTGGAGTAATTTATTTCTCTCCTTCACTGGGGGTCTTTGCAAGTCGGCTCTTTAATTACGGAAAAATAAAAGTTGTGAGCGAGCAATGTGCCTAACTGCATAAATTAGCTTGCTCTGGAGCCATCCTTCCTGAACAAAGGCAAAAATGTGTGAGCCGAAGGCTAAAAAACTGTGAGCTGGCTGACACTCACTCAGCTTAGGGGGAACACTGCATCCAGCCTACAAAAAAAAACGTTCTGTGATCCTCTGAAGTTTGCATTCTAAATACTGGTTGGCCCCAATAAAAGGGGGGGGGCCAATCGGGAGCCTAAATTGCTCTTCTGCCAACATCACGGGAGTCACAGCAGCAGAGCACCCCTGTTCCCGATGGCCCCCTGCCCCCCCCCCAGGAGCTGGTGCTGTGGGCTGCAGCAGGAGGATGGAGGTGAGGAAGTCCCGCTCCGCAGCGTTGTGACCACGCAGCCCACTGGCCTGCCCCCGATCCCGTCAACAACAACGCTTAGAGGAAGGCCACTCACGGAGGGCAATCTTGGCCAAGTGCAGGCGGTTCACCCAGGAGATCTTGCTGAGGGGGTTGGGAGTGATGAAGACCACCATGACGCTGATGGGGCGACCAGACCTGCAAGTGGGGAGAACAAGTGGGGGGGGGAGAACGGGGGGAGCTTGTGAGTGCTGGGAGGCGGCCACCAAGGCAGCGGCTCAGCACGGTCACAGTACCCACATCCAAAGAGGCAAGGCAATCCAGGGTGGTGGGCTTTGAGCCGCTCGCTTTTGCTGTTGAGCGGCTCCTGCTGTAACAGCATCTCTCCCCCGCCCCTCTCCCCAGCCTACTCAAGAATCCCACTGCTCCGGCTGACAAGCAGCAAAGGGCGCTTGAAGTACCTGAGCCCTTGCAGATCACATGGCCCTCGGCCAAATTTGACTCTTTTTTTTTTTTTTAAAAAGGGAGAAAAACGGAAAAGGGAAGTCAAACACAACAGTCCCACCCCGAAAGGTGAACTCTGGGATTCCTTCTTACAGTGTGACTGAAAAAGGTCCGCTGAAATCAAACACGTCTTTCAAATGTGTGAGGGATTTTTTATTTTTTTTTTAAATACTGACGGGATTTGGGCTCGCGTATGTTTGGAAGCCCCTTTGAGCAGTGTTCCCTCTAAACTGAGTTAGTGTGAGCTAGCTCACAGTTTTTTAGCTTCTGGCTCACACATTTTTGCCTTAGCTCAGGAACAATGACTCCAGGGCAAACTAATTTATGCAGTAGCCAGATCGCTCGCTCACAACTTTAATGCCAGTAGCTCACAAAGGAGAATTTTTGCTCACAAGACTCCAAAGCTTAGAGGGAACATTGCCTTTGAGTCTGGCGCATCACAGTCTGAGGAAACGCTGCTTATTCCCACAATAATAACGTTGGCCTTCCCTTCTGACAGTTCGAGATTAGCCTCCCTGTATTAATCTCTCTGGGGGTGGAAAGCGCCGTCAAGAAGCAGCCAATTGACGGAGACCCCCACGGAGTTTTCAAGGCAAGGGATGTTCAGAGGTGGTTTTGCCAGGGCCTGCCTCCGTGTCGCTGGTCTCCCACCCGAGTACTAACCAGGGCCGACCCTCTTTGGCTTCTGAAATCTGACAAGATTGGGCTAGCCTGGCCGGTCAGGGAATTAATCTATTAGCTGTCGAAGATTTTCCGGGCTGTCTGGCCGTGGTCTCGGCATGGTAGGACCTGACATTTCGCCAGCAGCTGTGACTGGCAGCCTCAGAGGTATAACACAGAAAGAGGGAGTACTCTCTGTCTCAAGGTGAGAAGAAAAATGGCTGGCGGGTAAATCTGTATCTACTCAGGAAGGTGGGGTAGGGCTGAGGCATTATCTCGTAGGCGTTCCCCAGGCTGTGGACATGCTAATGGAGGAGCTTTCCTGAGGAGACTCTTTTGCATACAACAACTAATGAACTCCGGCCATGAAAGCCTCCGACAGCACATTCATCTCTTTATTAATCTGTAAATGACACATGAAGCTGCCTCCTACTGAACCAGACCCTCGGGGTCCATCAAGGCCAATACTGTCTACTCAGGCCTGCCAGCGGCTCTCCAGGGTCTCAGGCGGAGGTCCTTCACATCGCCTGTTGCCTGGTCCCTTTTAACAGGAGATGCTGGGGATCGAACCCAGGACCTCCCTGCATTACAAGCAGATGCTCTACCGCTGAGCCACACCGCCTTCCCCTCTTTCTTTCAGAATCCTAAACAATGCATATGCTTTTAAAGTTTTTTTTTTTCAAATTATTCCAATTTTTAAAATGTATTGATTGGACAAAAAGGCAGGCGTCGCTAATGATTTCTAGCTGGCAGACGACTCTAATGACCATCTCTTCTCTTACGAAGCAGCTGCCTCTCACACAGAGAAGCAGGCGCCGAGGAGCATCGCTCCCCCCTGGCTTTTGAAGAAGTCAGCCAAGCACCAGGCTGCTCCGGAAGAGACACGTCCAAGAAGAACAGCCTCGGAAGACGATCCCAGAGGACCTGGAGACTCCACCCCAGCATGGCCTCCTTGGCTTTGGAGGTGCCACGTGGCAAGCTCTTTTCTGCACGCCCCAAAGCAACCCAACACGCACCCCAGACTCACTTGTCTGGCTTTCCCGGGAGCAGGAGACGGAGGCGGCACTTGTTGGCCGAGTGGATCTCTTCCTCCTTCACTCTCATGAGCCGCTGCAGTGCCAAGCACCAGTCCTGAGCCACCGTCATGTTCAGATTCTAGAAGGAGGGAGGGGGGCAGGATTTAAACCAGACCCTTTCACAAAGGAAGAGCACACTGTCCCTTGAAATACGACAGCCCATCAGAGGTGCACACACATTTCCCCCTCACGGGCAGTCTTTAAGGAGCGTCTCTGGGCAAACACCTGCCGGGGATGCTCTAGGCTGAACCTGCACTGACCCTTCCAACTCTGCGGTTCTACGAATCCCAGTGACTGAGAGACTCAAAACAACGAAAAGGCCCAATTTCTTATATTCATTAAAGAAAACCAAAGGGAATAGGAGTGAACATCATGTGGTAGTTCACGGAGGTAAGAGGGAGGGGGAGAGTCAGGAGACAGCTGGAGCGATGAAACTGATAAGCTTTCCAATCATCAAAGTCAAACAGATCGTACTACAGAAAGGGAAGAGGGTCAGGAAAGAGGCAAAGAAAAGGACCTGACATCTACATCTTTGCCAGTGAAAACTACAGAAATGAACATTTAATGGCAATATAACAAATACCAAGGGAGCAAGAAAGAAATACAATTGCACATCCCCTGATTCCAGGTTTCAATTTCCCATGGCTCTGGTTGTTGCCTCTTTCTGTGCCAAACGACACAATACAGTTTCTAATAAGTCAGGTCCAGATCCCCGGACTAGACCTACTTTCCTTGCAGCCACACAGCAGCTGTGGGGAACATCATCTTAAAAGTCTGCGGGGGCCGTTTTGCTTGGGACCACAATACAGAGTGGGGATGGTGCCGTGGGCTCCTGTGTTCCCCTCATGCTAAAATGGCTCAGGGCCCGGGGGGGGGTTACTTGCCTCATTTTGGAGCTGCGTGTGCTGTTTTGGCTCAGGAAAACAGTGTGTGTGGGAGGGTAGACACCCTTCCTCCCCTCGCATCACGGTCCCAAGTCAAACGGGGCCCTGCAGACTTTTAAAGCGATGCTCCCGACTTGCTAGGAATCATACTGTGCAGCTTGGCCCTCAGAGGCAGAAAACAGAGCTGCCTCTTGGCTACACATAAGAACATAAGAGAACATAAGAGCAGCCAATGTTGGATCAGGCCAGTGGCCCATCCAGTCCCACACTCTGGGTCACACAGTGGCCAAAACCCAGGAGCCATCAGGAGGTCCACCAGCAGGGCTAGTACTCCAGAAGCCCCTCCCACTGTTGCCCCCCCCAGGCACCAAGAAGACAGAGCATCACTACCCCAGACATAAGAACATAAGAGAAGCCAATGTTGGGTCAGGGCAGTGGCCCATCCAGTCCAAAACTCTGTGTCACACAGGGGCCAAAACCCAGGAGCCATCAGGAGGTCCACCAGCAGGGCTAGTACTCCAGAAGCCCCTCCCACTGTTGCCCCCCCCCCCAGGCACCAAGAAGACAGAGCATCACTACCCCAGACATAAGAACATAAGAGAAGCCAATGTTGGGTCAGGCCAGTGGCCCATCCAGTCCCACACTCTGGGTCACACAGTGGCCAAAACCCAGGAGCCATCAGGAGGTCCACCAGCAGGGCTAGTACTCCAGA